TATCTTTTTTCCTTCTCATCTAAAGTCAAAAGAAAAACTTTCACATTGAACTCAGGCCCATTCTTAGGTATTTTTCTAAATTTACTGACATAAAAACAAAAGGTTTCCAAGACATATTTCACAGATAAATACCTCCTGCCGATGGTCCGGCCGTGGTATCCATGAGTCCTCCAGGTCATCCTACGCTTCAGCATAGGGGTCCTGTTGATGAAGACATGTGTCAATTAGGAATATCTTTACAGTTTTGGGGTTTTTTTGTTTCAGAAAGTAAACAGTCCTTAAAAAACTTTACTGTTGGTTTAAAAAGTCATTAGGACATTTACAAAAATCTGTAAATATGTTCAGTCATTTTATTTCTAAATGCAAAATTTTAACTCTTACGATGAAGTCAGACACACCCAGGTATCTTCCTAAACTTACTGAAATAATTAAAACATTTTTTTTGAAGACACACTTCACAGAAAAATACCTCCTGCCGATGGTCCGGCCATGGTATCCATGGGATCCTGCTCCGGGTCATCCTCCGCATCAGCGGAGAGGTCCTGGTGATGAAGGCATGTGTCAATTAGGAATATCCTCTTTCATCTGTACAGTGCTTTTTGTTTCAGAAAATAAACAGTCATTATAAAATTGTTTACTGTTGGTTTAAAAAGTAATTAGGACATTTAGAAAAATCTGTAAGTAAATACGTTTAATCATTTTTCTTTTAAATGCAAAAATTAAACTTTGACATTGAAGTCAGACACACCCAGGTATTTTCCTAAACTTACTGAAATAATACAAAAATTAGGTTTCAAGACACACTTCACAGACAATATACCTCCTGCCGATGGTCCGGCCGTGGTATCCATGAGTCCTCCTCCAGCTCATCTTAGGCTCCAGCGGAGGATTCCTGGTGATGAAAACATGTGTCAATTAGGAATATCCTCTTGCATCTGTACAGTTTGGGTTTTTTTATTTCAGAAAAAAAAGAGTCCTTATAAAATTGTTTACTGTTGGTTTAAAAAGTCATTAGGACATTTAGAAAACTCTGTAAATACGTTTAATCATTTTCCTTTCCAAACTGCAAAAATTAAACTTTTACATTGAAGTCAGACACACACAGGTATTTTCCAAATCTTATTGAAATAATAAAGAAATTATGTTTAAAGATACACTTCACAGATAAATACCTCCTGCCGATGGTCCGGCCGTGGTATCCATGGGATCCTGCTCCGGGTCATCCTCCGCATCAGCGGAGTGGTCCTGGTGATGAAGACATGTGTCAATTAGGAATATCCTCTTTCATCTGTACAGTGTTTTTTGTTTCAGAAAATAAACAGTCATTATAAAATTGTTTACTGTTGGTTTAAAAAGTCATTAGGACATTTAGAAAAATCTGTAAGTAAATACGTTTAATCATTTTCCTTCTAAATGCAAAAATTTTACTTTTACATTCAAGTCTGACACACCCAGGTATTTTCCTAAACTTACTGAAATAATACAAAAATTATGTTTCAAGACACACTTCACAGACAATATACCTCCTGCCGATGGTCCGACCGTGGTATCCATGGGATCCTGCTCCGGGTCATCCTCCGCTCCAGCAGAGGGGTCCTGGTGATTAAGACATGTGTCAATTAGGAATATCCTTTGTCATCTGTACAGTTTAATTATTTGTTTCAGAAAGTTAAAAGAGTCGTTATAAAATTGTTTACGGTTGTTCTAAAGTCAGTAAATACCTTTTATCTTTTTCCGTTTTCACATAAACTCAAAAAGAAAACTTTCACATTGAACTCAGGCCCATCCATTAGTATTTTTCTAAATTTACTGACACAAAAAACAAAAATAGTTCCAAGACATATTTCAAGGATAAATACCTCCTGATGATGGTCCAGCCGTGGTATCCATGGATCCTCCTCCAGGTCATCCTCCGTTCCAGCGTAGGGGTCCTGGTGATGAAGACATGCTTCAATTAGGAATATCCTCTTTCATCTGTACAGTGTTTTTTGTTTCAGAAAATAAACATTCATTATAAAATTGTTTACTGTTGGTTTAAAAAGTAATTAGGACATTTAGAAAAATCTGTAAGTAAATACATTTAATCATTTTCCTTCTAAATGCAAAAATTTTATTTTTACACTGAAGTCTGACACACCCAAGTATTTTCCAATTAGGAATATCCTTTTTCATCTGTACAGTTTAATTATTTGTTTCAGAAAGTTAAAAGAGTCGTTATAAAATTGTTTAAGGTTGGTCTAAAATTAGTAAATACTTTTTATATTTTTCCCTTCTCACCTAAAGTCAAAAAGAAAACTTCACATTGAACTCAGGCCCATCCATAGGTATTTTTCTAAATTTACTGACATTAGAAACCAAAAAAAGTTCCAAGACACACTTCAAAGATAAATACCTCCTGCCGATGGTCCGGCCGTGGTATCCATGGGTCCTCCTTCAGGTCATTCGGGTCCTGGTGATGAAGACATGTGTCAATTAGGAATATCCTCTCTCACATGTACAGTTTTTTTTTTTGTTTTTTAATAAAAAGAGTCGCTTTAAAATTGTTTACAGTTAGTTTAAAAGGACAGAACGATATTTATAAAAATCTGTCAGTAAATACATTTGATCATTATCTTTTTTCAAATAAACTCAAAAAGAAAACTTTCACATTGAACTCAGGCACATCGATAGATATTTTCCTAAATTTACTGACATAAGAAACAAAAAAAAGTTCGAAGACATATTTCACAGATAAATACCTCCTGCCAATGGTCAGATCGTGGTATCCATGCGTCCTCCTCCAGGTCATCCTAGCTTCAGCGGAGGGATCCTGTTGATGAAGGCATGTGTCAATTAGGAATATCCTTTTTCATCTGCACAGTTTTTTTTTGTTTCAGAAAATAAAGAGTTGTTGTAAAATTGTTTACTGTTGGTTTAAAAAGTCATTAGGACATTTAGAAAAATCTGTCTGTAAATACGTTTAATCATTTTCCTACCTCCTGCCGATGGTCCGGCCGTGGTATCCATGGGATCCTCCTCCGGGTCATCCTCCTCTTCAGCGGAGGGGTTCTGATGATGAAGACATGAGTCAATTAGGAATATCCTAAAATCTGTCAGTAAATACATTTGATCATTTTCTTTATTCACCTAAATTCAAAAAGAAAACTTTCACAAAACTCTGGCACATCGATAGGTATTTTTCTAAATTTACTGATATAAAAAACAAAAATAGTTCCAAGACATATTTCACAGATAAATACCTCCTGCCGATGGTCCAGCCGTAGTATCCATGGATCCTCCTTCAGGTCATTGGGGTCCTGGTGATGAAGACGTGTGTCAATTAGGAACATCCTCTTTCATCTGTACAGTTTGTTTTTTGGATTTTTTTTTCAGAAAATAAAGAGTCTTTATAAAACTGTTTACTGTTGGTTCAAAAAGTCATTTGAACATTTAGAAAAATCTGTAAATACGTTTAATTATTTTCCTTCTCCAAAATGCAAATATTAAACTTTTACATTGAAGTCAGACACAAACAGGTATATTTAAAAACTTATTGAAATAATAAACAAATTATGTTTAAAGATACACTTCACAGATAAATACCTCCTGCCGATGGTCCGGCCATTGTATCCATGGGTCCTCCTCCAGCTCATACTCCGTTCCAGCGTAGGGATCCTGGTGATGAAGACATGTGTCATTTAGGAATATCCTCTCATCCGTACAGTTTTTTTTTGTTTCAGAAAATAAGGAGTCCAGTTTGTTGTTTTTGTTTTCAGAAAGTAAAGAGTCCTAATAAAACTTTACTGTTGGTTTAAAAAGTCATTAGAACATTTAGAAATATATGTAAACACGTTTAATCATTTTCCTTCTAAATGTAACAATGTAACTTTTACATTGAACTCAGACACAAACAGGTATTTTCTTAAACTAACTGAAATAATAAACAAATTATGTTTAAAGACACTTCACAGACAAATACCTCCTGCCGATGGTCCGGCCGTGGTATCCATGGGATCCTCCAAAGTCATCCTCAGCTCCAGCGGAGGGGTCCTGTTGATGAAGACCAGTGTCAATTAGGAATATCCTCTTTCATCTGTATAGTCTAATTATTTCTTTCAGAAAGTTAAAAGAGTCGTTATAAAATTGTTTAATGTTGGTCTAAAGTCAGTAAATACCTTCTATCTTTTTCCGTTTTCACATAAACTCAAAAAGAAAACTTTCACATTGAACTCAGGCCCATCCATAGGTATTTTTCTAAATTTAATGACATAAGAAACAAGAAAAGTTCCAAGACATATTTCACAGATAAATACCTCCTGCCGATGGTCCGGCCATTGTATCCATGGGTCCTCCTCCAACTCGTACTCCGTTCCAGCGTAGGGATCCTGGTGATGAAGACATGTGTCAATTAGGAATATCCTCTTTCATCTGTACAGTGTTTTTGTTTCAGAAAATAAAGAGTCCTTATAAAATTGTTTACTGTTGGTTTAAAAAGTCATTAGGACATTTAAAAAATCTGTAAATATGTTTTATCAATTTCCTTCTAAATGCAAAAATTTAATTTTTACATTCAATTCAGACACACACAGGTATTTTCCAAAACTTATTGAAATAATTAACTAATTATGTTTAAAGACACACTTAACATAAAATACCTCCTGCCAATGGTCCAGCCGTGGTATCCATGGGGTCCTGCTTCGGGTCATCCTCCGCTACAGCGGAGGGGTCCTGGTGATGAAGACATGTGTCAATTAGGAATATCCTCTTTCATCTGTACAGTTTGTGTTTTTTTGTTTCAGAAAATAAAGAGTCATAAAACTTTACTGTTGGTTTAAAAAGTCATTAGGACATTTAGAAAAATCTGTAAATATGTTCAGTCATTTTACTTCTAAATGCAAAAATTTAACTTTTACAATGAAGTCAGACACACCCAGGTATTTTCCTAAACTTACTGAAATAATTAAAACATTTTTTTAGAAGGCACACTTCACAGAAAAATACCTCTTGCCGATGGTCCAGCCGTGGTATCCATGGGTCCTCCTCCGGGTCATCCTCCTCTTCAGCGGAGGGGTCCTGGTGATGAAGACATGAGTCAATTAGGAATATCCTCATTTACATGTACAGTTTTTTTTTTCTTTTGGAAAATAAAAAGCAGTAAATACATTCGATCATTTTCTTTTTTCACCTAAACTCAAAAAGAAAACTTTCCCATTGAACTCAGGCCCATCCATAGGTATTTTTCTAAATTTAATGACATAAGAAACAAGAAAAGTTCCAAGACATATTTCACAGATAAATACCTCCTGCCGATGTTCCGGCCATTGTATCCATGGGTCCTACTCCAGCTCATACTCCGCTCCAGCAGATGGAGCGGTCCTGGTGATGAAGACATGTGTCAATTAGGAATATCCTCTTTCATCTATACAGTGTTTTTGTTTCAGAAAATAAAGAGTCCTTATAAAATTGTTTACTGTTGGTTTAAAAAGTCATTAGGACATTTAGAAAAATCTGTAAATTGTTTCATCATTTTCCTTCTAGCTCCAGCAGAGGGGTCCTGGTGATGAAAACATGTGTCAATTAGGAATATCCTCTTTCATCTGTACAGTTTGGGTTTTTTTATTTCAGAAAAAAAAAGAGTCCTTAAAAAACTGTTCCCTGTTGGTTTAAAAAGTCATTAGGACATTTAGAAAAATCTGTAAGTAAATATGTTTAATCATTTTTCCCTCTCCAAAATGCAAAAATTTTAACTTTTACAGTGAAGTCAGACACACACAGGTAATTTCCAAAACTAACTGCAATAATAAACAAATTATGTTTAAAGACACTTCACAGACAAATACCTCCTGCCGATGGTCCGACCGTGGTATCCATGGGATCCTGCTCCGGGTCATCCTCCGCTCCAGCAGAGGGGTCCTGGTGATTAAGACATGTGTCAATTAGGAATATCCTCTTTCATCTGTACAGTTTAATTATTTGTTTCAGAAAGTTAAAAGAGTCGTTATGAAATTGTTTAAGGTTGGTCTAAACTTAGTAAATACTTTTTATCTTTTTCCCTTCTCACCTAAAGTCAAAAAGAAAACTTTCACATTGAAGTCAGGCCCATCCATAGGTATTTTTCTAAATTTAATGATATAATAAACAAGAAAAGTTTCAAGACATATTTCACAGATAAGTACCTCCTGCCGATGGTCCGGCCATTGCATCCATGGGTCCTACTCCAGCTTATCCTCCGCTGCAGCGGAGGGGTCCTGGTGATGAAGACATGAGTTAATTAGGAATATCCTCTTTCTATACAGTGCTTTTGTTTCAGAAAATAAAGAGTCCTTATAAAATTGTTTACTGTTGGTTTAAAAAGTCATTAGGACATTTAGAAAAATCTGTAAATATGTTTCATCATTTTCCTTCTAAATGCAAAAATTAAATTTTTACATTCAATTCAGACACACACAGGTATTTTCCTAAACTTATTGAAATAATATACAAATTATGTTTCAAGACACACTTCACACACAAATACCTCCTGCCGATGGTCCGGCCGTGGTATCCATGGGATCCTGCTCCGGGTCATCCTCTTCAGCGGAGGGGTCCTGGTGATGAAGACATGAGTCAATTAGGAATATCCTCATTTACATGTACAGTTTTTTTTTCGTTTTG